CTCAGTGATTTAGTCATTTAGAGTGAAATAACCACTCCATGATCCCACTTAATATTTATATATCATTTTCCTCGCAGCTACTTAAAGAGTACGTATAATATCCATAGTATAAATATATATATATATTAAGAAGCAAATCATGAAATGCCAATGCTATATTTGAGTAGTGTTTAAAAATAGTAGTTTTTGTTTTTGTTTCCTAGTAATAAAGAGATACATTCTAGAGGACATTTATAAACACATTAAAACCTTTTTTTTATGAATTCGGAGTCTTCAGAACGCATTCATTCCATCAGCTACCTTATCGTTATTTGCATACATGAGAGAGAGAGAGAGAGAGAGATTTCTTAGAAAAAATGATTTATGAAACGTCTTCTTTTAATTGAAAAAAAAAAAGACAGAGCAGAAACTTAATATGGATAATATTTACTTTTAAAGCAAACATTTTTTTCCTAACACAACAATAAAGGGATTGAAATTACACGACCAATGAAAATGTTCTGACGTTTCTGAGGAAAAATAATACACCAAACAGGCGACCAAACTTACATTCCTTTAACCACAGTCACCGGGTTATCTTTCCTTCCTGTCCCTCTTGATTTTTAAAATCCGTGTTTGGCTTGTGTGTGTTGTTTACGAATTCGAGTGTTGTTGAACCGAAAATTATCTTCAACAAATGTCTTTTGTCAATCTTCTTATCTTAATCTATTGATTGTAAATTTCAGAATTTCTAAAGATCACACAGCTCCAGAGAAATATCTGCTCTATGAAAAATGTCAACACCAGATAAAAATAATGGAGGAAAAAGGTCAAAACTCAAGGTCATGCTTATGAGATCAAAATCAAAGAGCGTTTGGAAATATCTTGTTACAGGTAATAAACATATTAAATAAAAAATCCCCATCTTCACTCATTCAAAAGTTATAACTAAGGTTAGATTTTTATGACAGACCGACAGACAAAGAGAAAAATGAGACTTGATATCCCCGCGCTTTTATAAAACAAAAGGACAAAAAAGAATACAGAACATAGACTCATAGTAGATTTGGAGACAAAACAAACAAACAAAACAAAAACAAACGAAACAAACCAACACGGAAAGACAACGGGACAAAGACGAGGACAGCAAGATCACACCAAGATTAGTTGTCCAGTCCACGAATTCTTCACACGACACTAAGTCATGTATTAAACTATTATAGCAATATATTCAGCATAAAATATTTAATTGTATTTACATGGATTAGTCATTTAAGTTGAAGTAACAAGTCATTGACTATACTTGTTATTAACATCCAGCCTTTTCTAAATCCACTTGAATAAGATGTATAATTAATAATTCATTTACTGGGACCGCAAATTATTAAAAAAAAACCCACTTACTACTTTGTTGAGTAGTGTTAAAAATGGGTTTTTTGTTTCCCTTAAATTTAGAGATTTGTTCATGGGTCAATTTAAAATAAATCATTTTTGTATGAAATCAAAGTCTTGAGCACACGTTCATTCCGTCGGCTATCCTATCATCATTTCCCCACTTTAAAGAGAGGGAGAATTTTCTATGTACAAGAGGCCCATGGACCACATCGCTCATCTGAGTCACCTTGGCCCTGCTGTTCTTCTTCAGAATTTTCCATCTTTATTCCCATAAAAAAATCTTTGATCCCAAATTGTGGGTCCAACCTAGCCTCAAGTGGCCATGATATAGAAAACCTAGATTCCATAGATCGGATGCTTCAATATCAATATGACCAAATGACCCTATTGTTCCCCCTTGAAAATAATTCAAATTTCTTTCATGTACACATGTATTATGTAAAATTTTATCTCTAATTTTTGTCCCACTTTAACCCCAGACAGGAGTGGTGTCAATTACATTAAAATAATTAATTAAATTACAGTTTAACTAAAGAATTTTTAATACATGTCATTAATTATGTTACAATTACTTTGCAATAGTAATGAATTAGATAACAAATGACACTTTTATTTTTTGAAGATTTTCTATATTTTTTTTTTTAATTTTTCGTGAATGAATACAGAACATGGTATATGCTAAGCCTCTGGATAAGCAATTCAAGAAATAAGCATAACTTAGTTATCATGTATGAAATATATAATTTTTTTAGAACTTTAAGGAAATATCTTGGATCTGTTTGAAAGCTTTTAATATCAGTGCGTTTCCTCCACCTAGACCTTTATGTATATCAATTGCCTGCCTTTTGAAATTTTATTAAAATTAAACCTAAAGTATATGAATTTAAACTTAAAAGTAAACCATTAAGTTATTTCATTTGAAGTTTACCTGAACAACTTAAATTGCAAAAGATGAGCATTTTCACACCATATATACTAGATGCATTCATAAAATCTGTTTAGAAGTAGAAATAATGATTTCATAAAGATATCTTTTCTGGAGTAAGTTTTTTTAAGTTAGTGGAGCAATTCTTAATTGTATTAACTACCACTTTTGGCTTTACATTAGTTGATAGTTTTACAAAGTCTGACATAACTTTAACTTTGGAGAACTGTTTGGACAGTACTGTGATTTGGAGATCTGTGATCAACAAGGGGGTCTTAGTGACACAAAACCATTTCCTATTCTTTAATAGCAATTTCACTGAAAATGCAATTAATTACACTCAAAACAATTTCTTTTTTAAATTATCTCATCTCTGACCCCATGCTATAAAATATTATACGAGGGGTGATCAAAAAGTTCGCACTTTTCAGATCAGAATGAAATTTGGTACACATATAGTCATACATGTGTTCTATATATAGGAGTTTTATGTAATGTTTTGATCCATGTTTGTGACGTCACAATGTGAAAATGACGTCATTAGGTAGGTTACTTGTGACAAAAAATGATTGACTCAGTCATACTCGAGCAACGAACTGCTGTAAAGTTTTATGTCTATCTTGGAAATACCTTTGCAATAGCATATAATACTTTGTACAAAGTTTATGAAGACAAAAGACTTGCCAGGAGTTTAATCATTAATTGGATTGATTGTTTTAGTAAAAGAAGGGATATGGTTAAAAATGATGTTTGTTCTCTTGCCCAGTGAAAACAAGTTGGGGAAGAGATGTGTCCACAGTTGAGCAATTTGATATGAAAGACCGCCAAGTTACAGTTAGAAAAATAGTTGAATATCTTAACAATAATACAGTTATTAAATCCCTAAAATATCGTTTACTTTAGAATTTAATCATATCAGATATGATAAAAAGAAGGCGCCATGCCTTATATCCACATTTGATAAACGACGCTCCCAAGACGGAAAACTCGGGTTGCGATGGTCACCATGCTCATTCCGGGAAAGGATATCCTTATCCACCCATCCTATTGCCGAGATTTGGCCATTTTTGACAAGTTGACTGTTTTAGTTATAAAAAATAACTTGCATGGTAAGAAATATAAGACTCGAAAAAATCTTTTTACATCCTGTGAACGGAACGCTTCGGAGCATGTCACGTGACCGCCTGTATCACGTGATTTGCGCATGGACAGAACTGTGGCAGATGCGCATTTAAATCGGAGAGGACTACTTTAAAAAATAATGAACACTAAAACCTAATTTCATTTCTTTTATGGAAGTTATTCAATTAGTTCGCGAACTTTTTGATCACCCCTCGTATATCAATATGACTAATCATGGCCCTTGTCTTTCTTAAAAGAAGATTTTGAAGCTTTTTTTCCCCTAGTTTCATTTAAAACATTGATTTCCTATCTTTACCCAACGTAACCCCAAAGGTGACTTTTTAACCATCTTGAATATATACTGAGGAAGCTTACACATAAAAAAAGTCTTATCAGGACCCTACTGTTCCTGAAAAGGAGATTTGAATTTTTTTTTCATTTATATTCCCATTTAAAACTTTTATCCCCTACTGTGACCTCATCCCTACCCAAGGATTGATTTGAACATTTTGAATATACACTACCTGAGGATGTTTGCATCTTGATATGACTAATCATGGCCTTGTTGTTTATGAGAAGAAGATTTTTAAAGATTTTTCCTAAATATTCACAGATATATTCCTATATATTTAAAACGTTGATCTTTTGTGGCCTAACCCTAGACCCAGAGGTCATGATTTAAACAAAAGTAAATCTACATTGTGTCATAAGTTTTAAATACAAGTTTCATTATTTTTTGGCTCAGCGGTTCTTAAGAACAAGTTGATTAAAAGATGCCTTCAAGTTTCACTAATTCTTCATTATCTCCCCTTCAAAGAGGGCGTGGCTCTTCATGTGAACAAACTTGTTAATAGGTTCCTTTTACCCAAAGATATTTTGTGGCAATTTTGTAACTGGTCCAGTGGTTCTGGAGAAGAAACCAAACAGGCGGACGCTGGATATCCTTCGATCAGAGAAGCTCACTTTAGTCTTTTGCTCATGTGAGCTAAACAAAGGTTTGAGAAAACCTCATCCTTTAATTCAAATCACTGAAAAAAAAAACATCAAAGAAACTAAATATGTGTGACTTTTTCTTTCAGTACAAACATCTTTGTTTCAAACGCACCTACTACAATTAATGGGATTGAAATAAAACGACCAATGAAAATGTTATGAAGTTTCTCAAGAAAGGAACATAAATACTTTAAACAGGCAACTATCATTTTCCGTCAGAAGACAAATCTTGCATTCCTTTAACCCTAATCACCAGATTATCTTTCCTTCCTATACTTCTAAATTTCTTAAATCCATGTTTGGCTTGTGCATGTTGTTCGTTAATGCAGACTGTTCTTGAATCGGACTTTAACTTATAAATTACATTTAAAGGATTAGAATCAAATTTTAATACCTGAATCTATTAATTTTAAATTTCAAAATTGCAGTAGATTTCAAAACCCTAAATGTAGACCTCATGGTCATCACAAGATATAAATAAGGGAAAAAAAGGATGTGTAGTTATCAACAAGACTTGTTCTATAATTAGATCCTACAGAATCAGTCCCTTAACGATTCTTATCCGACGCCATCTACCTAACATGTAATGAGCCAGGTAAGCTTTCTATAGTCATTTGACACCAATTTTGGAGCCTTTTTACATTTTGTTATCAGTATCATTAACTGTGTTACAGTTGAAACATTGTCGACTGTATAGTTGTGATATATGATGTTGATTATAATATATGTACTTGATCCCTTAAAAGGAGATACACGATCAAGGCAGGAAGGCTTGTCTTTTACGCTCTTATTTGTGACCTTCATAAGTGGACATGACACATAGGATGTTACATCAACGATGAAATGGTTCTATAAAAACCTTTTCCGAATCATCTTAACTTTAATGTTTTCACTTTTCGCCATGGAAAAGGTTTCATTTATTTTATTCATGGTATTGTATTTTTTTTTTTATACATCCTTATATTTTTAAATGGCATAATTCTTGTTTGTATTCATGTATATCTTGTGTACGCTATCTTTTGATATGATTAATGAACTTAAAAACTTATTGTTTTTTGTTTTTGTATTGAATACAATGAAAATACTTTTATCAGAAATTTTTTTTATTTATCTGTTTTTTCCTAAATTATATACACCATTCTGGAATTATTATTTCCATTTTAAATGTATTCCTAAGGATGAACATAAAAATTGGATAATGCATTAGGATTTCAATCCCATTTACTTTAAGCTAATTGTAATGAAATAAAATCTACGTCACAGGTTGTTCTTCTGGTCCTCAATTGTCGGGGGCAAATGGATAGAAAGCCTCCTCCCGAGGACCTCACAATGGACCAGATTATGTCTAGACTATTAGGCGGAACACGTAAGTATATCATTCTGAAGAAATAAATAAAGAATTGAATGATTGTACGTTGTTTTCCGTCCCTTTCGAGAATTTTTCACTCACATAGAGACATCACCATATACATGTACCGGTGAAGGACTTCAAATTTAGACCTTTACTCGGCATTCAGGGCCATTGAGCAGTGAGGGATCTTTATCGTGCCAACGCCTGTCGTGACACGGGGCCTCGGTTTTAAGATCTCATCCGAAGGACCCGCAAATTTCACTTCAAAGTGCCGAGCGCCTGGCGAAGGAACAGTTGCTACCTATTTTTTATCGACTTAGGTCAGTCGCGGTCGAGATTTGAACTCACGGCCTTCCGATCACGGATAATAAATAAAGAAAACGTTCGCTAAAATTATCATCAAACAAATGACAAGGGTACAAAGAAAGATAATTCTTGAAATTACTGTGGAATTGTTCATAACTTAATATTGTATTACACACATACACATGCACACACCATATATTCCTGTCATGCCTCTCAACAGCCACGCCATCTTTGTTTTGGCCATTTACGCTTTATTAAAACATTTTATGATTTGATGCTTATAAGCAAAGCATTTTGTATTAATCATGCACCGTTTTGGATATCTATCTTTCGAGGAAGGGAAATAAAACTTCGGATGAAAATATATATCCGGAGAATCATTTGATAATACTTCATGAAGCTAAATATATATATTTCATCAGATTCTGATGTCTAATGATAACAGTCATATGATTCATAACTTTGTGTACATTTTTGATAGATAAAATACAAGTAAAGGTTTCTTTTTATCAAAGTTATGTTGTTTCAAATAATGTTAGGCATTACAAAATCACATGTACAGATCACATTGGAAAAAGTGAAGAAAAAAAGTTTATTTAATTGAAGTTCTGAGTCCAAGACAACGCTAACAATATCTTGAAGAGATACAAAGCGTTAACATGGAGCCTACATCGTTTATTTACGTCCGCTGAATATTTTCAACTTTATTTCTTCTAAAAACCAAATGCTGTTTATCTGAGAGAATTAAAGCCAATAAATTTTCAGATCCCCTTTTCAAAAAGCGTATGAAAGATTTTTTAAAGTGTTTACGTTCGACTGTTTCATGGCTCCTCCATCAATGTAACATATAGATCGATAATCCAGAGAAGTATCATAACAGAATGGAATTCTGTTAAAGGGAAAAAAAAGAAACTTTATATTGGAGAAATATTTTGTTCTGAATGATATTGAAAAGCCTGTTAAACTGTATCACTTGCTAAAGCAATGAACTTTGGAGCTCATATGAAATTTACTTTTTTATTTTAGAAATGGCAAGTAGTATCACTTTACCGGGTAGCTTAATTCTAAAGGAACTAGACATGTATTTAACAATGGATCAGTACAGCGCTATAAGTTCAAAAAAGTAAGCAATTAAATTAATTTATTATTATTAATTAATTTATATTATATAAATATATATTAAAAATATGTAAAAATATTAATTACATAATTGTTTTTCCTGTCCTTCTAAAGTGTCACATAAGCTGCTTTTTTCTTTCTTTGATAAAAAAAAATTGAAACAATGACTACTTCTCTAATATATGAATATAAAGATAATGTATGTAGATTTTTTTCTTTGTTCATATTAACATTTTAATTAATAGAGAAAATGGCAAAAGATTATGAAGTTAGTATTACCTTACAGTTTTAAATAAAGAGTTAGTGAACAGATTTGATTGACTTTAGAAAGAGAAAGCGAAGAAAAGCAGTCAGAAATCCAGTATCATATTGGAATGGAGGGATAATGCCATATAGATTCGCGCCCGGAGCTTACGGTGAGAGAGAGAGAGAGAGGAGTACATTTTCAAAGAAATTGAGTATTTACCTAGACATTTTCGTATGTTAATAAACGTTAGGCTGAATAGTAAATTATCTTGGTAAAATGTAAAAAGTAATTAATTTAGTAACATTTTTGAAATAAATAATAACGCACATACACACCCATTCGATCAGTCAAATAAATGATTTCCTCAGATTGAAAATTATTTTATTTTATTTATTTTTTTTTTATTTGTTTGTTTGTAGAGACGGTTGATCAATATTTTGTTAAGGTTGCAATGAGGGAGTTAGAAAAATACACCTGTCTTCGGTTTAAAGAAAAGACAACTGAAACTGATTACGTGGAACTCATTGATTCTCAAGGGTAATTTGGCAGACAATATACTTTTTTGAATTAAAAAAAGCATGCTTTATTTTGTACACATTCAAAAAGATGAAATACTTTTATGCCGATATACTGTATGAGTAAATACATCTCCAAAAAATGGATCCTGATACAATTCTAGCGAAATTATCAATATTCTGACAAATATTTTATTGAATGATATGTATTATTTATAGATGCTGGTCTCGTCTTGGTAAAGAAGGGGGCAGACAGGAATTAAGTTTAGACAGAAATGGCTGCCGATACGTAAGTTGATCCTTTGAATGTTTTTATTATCATATTATTAGTTATAAATAGGCATTTTGAAGTTAAAGACGCATAAAACAGGCTTGTTCATAAACTCAAAATGACTGAAAAATTTTAAATAAATATAAATCAAAGACAATGGTTCCTGTTTGAGTTATTGGCTCCGACAAATAACTATCACCAATGAGCAGGAACAAAAAAAGAATTCTAACTATTTTAAATTATGACGTCACAACCATTTAATCAATCCTCCCAAGACACGACAAAATTCATATTTTTAAAGATACAACATTCAAAGCTAAATTTAAAAAAAAACCTTCCAAGAATTTTGATTTATGAGAATTTGAAAAAGAAAGAAAAGATTTAATATGCAATGTAATTCATGTAAAGAAGATTGAAAAGTTGAAGTCATCTGGTTTATCATAAAGTTTTTTTGTAAGGTTACCATTACCGTCATTTTCTTGTAAAATCTCTACATATGAAACAAATATGTCAGTCTGTGGTATCTTTTATTTCAAGTTCACTGGAGTCGACATATGAATGGAAGTAACTATTGTTAATCGATAATACCTCGTCGAAATATCTAAATGTCGAGTTGAAGGACACAACAAGTGTCTTCTTGTCATGCATACGTTTTTGAATAAATTCTGCTTTATATGAATACCAAAACAATTAGCAATTAGCGGGGCGCAATTGAGAATAGGAGGCACAGTTATTTGGACATTAATTTTATTAGAGGAAAATTTTTCATGAAACACTTCGTTAAATATGCCTGCATGGGATGTCTACATTTAAGCATTCCAAAGATGTAAGGTTCCTAAATTATGCAAAATTATATATATATATATATATATATATATATATATATATATATATATATATATATATATATATATATATATATATATATATATATATAAAATCCAAAAAATCTTAAAATTGTTATTTGTTTTTAAAATGAATAGAATTCAGATGTTTTTGATTTCAATGTGATCAACAAAAGTAATTGGTTTTTAAATTTACAACTTCAGAAAGGATTGTACTTGCATGAAATTGGACATGCAGTTGGTCTTATTCATGAGCAAAATCGACCAGATCGTGACGAGTTCATTAGAATCATCACCCAGAACATCCAGCCTGGACTTGCGGACCAATTTCAGAAGTACCGAAGTTCATTTATCAATACCTACAGTGTACCATACGACTTCCCGTCCGTTATGCACTACGGCGTAACAGTAAGCTTCAATATCATTGATGATACTGTATTTAAAAAAAACTGGAGCAATCCATGAAATTACTGATATCGCTGAACATGAGAAACAAAAATCATATTTTTTTAATGATAAATGAACATCCACTTTCTAACTTATATCAGCAGTCTCGTTTAAAGTCATCATTTCGTAAGTTCTATAGTCGATACAATGACCTTGTCAGCAAATACAATCTATCATTAAGTCAAATGCTGAGTGACCTTTTTCATACTATTTGTTAGGCCATTATTTACACACTGAATTGTCGACGGATTTTTCCGTTATCTTCCGATCATGACAAGGAACACACGGCGGGTGTGACCGGTAGGCAGGGGATGCTCACTCTTCCATGGCACCTTATCCCACCTCTGATGTCTTAGAGGTCCGTGTTTGCTCTGCTCTTAATTTGTAATGTTTAATGGACTTTTGAGCTCGAATACTGTTCGTTATCTCCAAATATTTCATTACAGTCTATCTCGCTGTATGACTAGAGACAGGTTAAAGCAATTAAGTGTTAATAATTTGTTGGGTTTTATTTCTAGAAGAAAGAATCTATTGCATCAGCTTATCTTAAATAAACGGAGTACATCGATACATGTATATGAAATTATATAAAAATTGCATGTTGTTGAGGGTAATATTGAACATTTTCATCCCAAGAAAACCATAGTCAACCGAGGCGCAGCTGAGGTTAACATTTGTTTTGAGGGGTGAACATTTTCAATATACAATATCTATTATAATTATGCTGAATGTTTTATACAAATACATATAATGGTGAACCGTGCGCCCATAGATTCTGCGCTGTCAACTTTTTTTGGAATGTCACCAATCGTCAAGTATTACATTCTATCAAGCCGGAGGAGTGGTTTCATCATTCAGAGGGAAATAGTATTTTTTTTAACATCTCTTTCTCGACGAAGTGAATTCAACTAATTTACATGAAAGTGAAAAAGATGATGAACCAACAAATTATAAAAATGACAAATGTGAATTTTCATTTAAAACACACATATATGTCTACGTGTTTTGCAGACATGCATAGGATATTTCATATAAATTATTAAGAAAATGAGAATATGTAGAAGATTCTTTTATGAGATGTTGACAGAGTGTAGAGTGTATGACGAACATGTAATTTACTATTATGGTATATCAACTCTTTGTAGGCCTTCAGCAGAGATCGCACCAGTCAAACAATAGTTGCACAACCAGCTTATAAGGATAGAGAATCAGAAATAGGAAAAGTTTTTCAGAAGGAGCTATCTTTTGGTGATGTACAGGTTTTGAACGCCATGTACAGCTGCAGTGAGTCTCATCTCTTGATTGATAAATGTGAATGCATCCAAGCTGATTTATATAATTGATTAAATTATGTTATGATTTTATATGAAGTACAATCTTTAAATAAAAAAAATTGTACTCTATACTTGAATACCATAAAAATAAATTGTACAAACCTTTTGGCAAATTTTCACATTCACGGATCTTAATTTTGTCTCTTTTTTAGACGATGTATGCGACAGCAGTATTATTTGTGATGGTGGTGGCTTTTTAGACCAGAACTGTGAGTGCATCTGTCCTGACGGAACCTCTGATTGTCAGAGAGGAAAAACAAGGCTAAATCCTGGTAACTGGCTTTTTTTTACCTATTTTTTTTTTAAATACTTGGAGTCTTTTAATAACTTTTAAATCCCATTCATAGTCCACTTTATAACGTATAATATTTAAAATCTACAGTGATTTGTGTGGGAGAAGCTGTGTTTGTAAATTTACATGTTCCAATTTATCATGAAATGATATTGCAGAATGCCGAAATTCAGTAAATGACTGGAAATGTAACATTTGGGCAAAACAAGGGGAGTGCAAAAGGCGACCAGAGTGGATGAACAATAATTGTGCCCGAGCATGTGGAGCTTGTGGAAATGAACAAAATGTGAGACAAGGTATGACTAATAAACAAAATTGATTTTTTTAATTTATTCAGTTTCATACATTTAGCATAATGTTTGCTTTTAAAAGGTTGCTAAACTTCAATTAATACTGATTTAGCACTGAAACTAAGTAAAATACACGATTCATTTAGTAAATGCTCTCTCTCTCTCTCTCTCTCTGTGTGTGTGTGTGTGTGTGTATGTGTGTGTGTGAGGGTGCGCGTGTGTTTGTGTGTTTTGAGACTTCTTATTCATTTTTCTTACAGATCTACAGAATGTTTGTAGAAATCATTATGACGACGAGACTTGTAACAAATGGCGTGATAATGGGGACTGTGTGGTTGCCGAGGACTGGATGAGGCAAAATTGTAAAAAGTCTTGTTCCTATTGCGACAAGTCTAACCCTAGACCAAAAAGTAAGCTATATATAATTTCAATAATTTATTCTAAATCTAACTATACGTCATGATTAGCCAAAAATTTAAGTCCGTTTTATAATGTCTATTAGAGGGATTATAGTAAAATATATTTTATTTTATGCCTTCTTTGTATGATGTATCAGTAGACTTTGCACAATTTTTAACAATCTAATTAAAGTTATACCCTTTACGCTCCTGTATTTTTATTATGTTGCTAACTAAATACAGGTGCGTAAATTAATTCGATTGAATTTTTAATGACGTAGTGCTGTTTGTACTCATGGTTATCATACAAATGCTTCTACAAGTACATAAATCTGTGTGTGTGATGATAGGTCATCTGGTGTAATGTTATTGCTTCTTATTTGTTAGTAATACATTAAAGCAAAATACATTATGTGTTCATTTTCTAACGTAGCCAATTGCATGAACGCTTATTCCAACGACGCAAAATGCAAAGAGTGGGCTTTGACAGGCGAATGTGCCATCAATCCTGCTTGGATGACCATTAATTGTGCTAGTGATTGTCACACATGTGAAAACAATGGGAGTCTACCAGACGACGGAACGAGGACTACACGTGGACCAATTCAGACAAGACCACCGACCGTCACCACGCCCCCACCAACAACCCCTAATCCTAGTAAGTCATACAGTTTTATTTCGTTCCACTGAATTTCTAACCCCCCCCCCCCACAACCACAATTTTAGTAAGTCGTACAGTTTTATTTCATTTCACTGTTTTATCAGTTATTAATCATATACGCTACCAATTTTGATGCACCAGATGCGCATTTCGACAAATTATGTCTCTTCAGTGATGCTCAAGCCGATACGTTGGAAATCCAAAATATTGAAATAAAAAGAATTGGAAGAGCTGAAAATAGGTGCCAAAGACTGGAGCTAAATAGGTCGAAGGATCAGAGCTATGCATGAGGGAGATAATCCTTAATTCTGAAATAAATTTCTAAATATTACCACAGCGATTAAATATATATCCGTATTTTCAAGCTTGTACTGAAGTAGTAAGTAACTGGGCTGTAGAGACCCTCGGGGTCTAACAGTCCACCAGCAGAGGCCTCGACCCAGGAGTCATTATGTTAATCATATACGGTACCAATTTTGATGCACCAGATGCGCATTTCGACAAATTATGTCTATTCAGTGATAGTATAATAAGACGTGTAGCGTTTAAGAAAGTTTCTATATAGTTTTTGATATAACTTTAGAAAGCATCTTTATAAGTGTTAACAATTTTTAACTTACCTTCAGATTCCTGTGAGGATAGGTATCCGACAACAAACTGTCAGAACTTCGAAAATCAATGGAAGTTTTGTACTATTCATAGAGTATGGATGGAAGCAAATTGCATGAAAACCTGTGGACTTTGTCGTGGTGGAGAAAAAGAAAAAGGTAGCATGCTAAAATACTATGAAGGTCATTTCAAATTAAATAAAATTTTCATAAAAAATTATTTTAAGCTTTTAAAAGTTTAGATTTTACGGAGTCGAACAACTGTTTACACACAAAGCTCATCATTCAAAGAAAAATATTTAAACATTTCATATTTAAAGGAATAGATTTTTCATTACATTTAAATGGTCTTTGGCTTTTTATGTTTACTTTTTATTTAAATCGTGATATTGATAGTTGTATTGTTGATATAGACAAATACCTTGTATTTCATGTAACATTAAACTTTGATAATAATGCTACATGTATAATTTCTTTGTTGAAAATGTTTTCAACAATGAATGTCAAATTTATTCAATTACAATGCACAAAGTGTTGGAAAAAGCATCTTTTGTTTTTTTCATGAACAACCCTTTCTTTGCATTCTAAAAATTGGAACTCGGCCTATTTGTTATTCTTTTTTCTCTTTGGTTTAATAAATTTGAGTTTTTCAATTAAAAAATAGTTTGATTAAAGAAATAGAAACCTTTATAGAAAGTGTACACAAATACATATAACCCAACACGATTTAAGATGAATTTGTTTTTGTCAGAATCAAGTCATAGCTCAAACAACTAAAAATTTACACATATGCTGCTCTATTTTAAATGGTTTTTCAAAACAATTGCTTATCTTTTGAAACTTTGAAAGTCCCTTATTTTAAAAAATATCTTATTATATATAGTATATGGTGAAATATTTTTAGAGTAGAATTTGTGATTCATGTGCTAATTTCATTGAGAGAGATGTGCAGTAAAGCATCACAAAGATAATTGAAATTTTAAAAACTGAAATGATGTTCTTTTTGCAGAATTGGAGAACTGCAAAGACGATAACCCAACTTGTCCCGTATGGGCGAACGATAACCAATGTGTTATAAACCCAGGATACATGCTCAAGTATTGTATGAAGTCATGCCGTGTGTGTACTGCAGGTAAGCACAGATAAATGAGGTCTCTGTTATATGATTATATATATATATATATATATATATATATATTACTCGGTCGGTATGGTGGAAATCGGTTAGAAAATCTGTAATAGGTTAGTAATAGGTGAAAATAAAGTATATGTAAATTTGAATGCAATTTTCTTGAAATTCATTTTTATAAAAGAAACCTCTGCATAAACGTTGATCATTTTGCGTTTTCACATATCTATTTAAGCTGATTTGGTGGTAATTATGGCTCGACGGATTAAGATCGCAGGGTAATTGGTCAGTTTGTGAAGTGTTTATTGCTGTTTAAACATCATGTCATTACCCCGACTGTCCTGTTATTCTTTAATGATATTATAATTAAGTAAATCACCTTTGAGCACTGTGAATTGGTATGTCTGCCTTTTGCAGTTTTCCATGAAATATATGGAAATAACGAACGGTATTCAAGCTCAAAAGTCCATTAAACAATACAAATCAGGAGCAGAGCAAACACGGGCCTCTAAAACATCAGAGGTGGGATCAGGTGCCAAGGAGGAGTAAGCATCCCCTGCAGACCGGTCACACCCTCCGTGTGCTCCTTGTCATGATCGGGAAAAAACGGAAAAATCTGTTGACAATTCAGTTTGTAAATAATGGCCTAACAATTACATTGTAATATGAAAAACGTCAGTCAGTATTTGACTTAATGATAGATTGTATTTGCTGACAAGGTCATTCTATTGACCATAGAACTTACGAAATGACGACTTTAAACGAGACTGCAATTCTTGTTTCATCAACTTGTTTGTCAATAACCTACCTCGTTTTAGAAATTGATCATAAGTAGAGCATACTCTTGCGTATTGAATCAGCTGAGAGATATAAACCCCGTAAGCAGATGATAAAGGTATATTGCTGCATAAGTAAGGGAAGTTGACGATTGCAAAGTGAAAGTCATCACGTTTATCATAAAGCTTTGTTGTTAGATTACCATTAACGTCTTTTTCTAGAAAAATATTCAAACATGAAACAGATACGTCAGACCCTGTGGTATCTTTTATTTCATGTTCACCGGGATATATCGTATCTACAGAAGAATGGAAATAGCTATTGTTAATTGACAATACGTCGTCGATATATCTAAATGTGGAGGGTTTTTTTTCCTTCTTTTCACGTATAAGATTCGAAACAAATTCTGCTTTATATGAATACAAAAATAGGTCTGCTAATAACGGGGCGCAATTGGTACCAATGAGAATTCCAATATATTGTTGAAATACGTGGTTTCCAAAAACCACATAGATATTGTCAATCAGAAACTCAAGCATCTTTTTAATATCAACTTCAGAGTATTTGTGTGTACAATCAGAATGTTTTTTAACAAAATAATTTTGCAAATGACCAATGACAAGGTGAATAAATTTACGAGTTCCATTTTTATTGAAAAAACAGCTGTCTATAATGTCAAAAAGCGTGGACTTTAATTTATCGTGAGGAATGGTTGTATATAGAGTTAAAAAGTTATAAGTTTTTATGTTGTTGATTTTGGTAAAATTTTGTGATTTCTAATTTTCCAAAAGTTCCTTGGAATTTTTAAGTATCCACATCTGATTTACACCACTTCTCGAATATATTGTTACACAGTACTCCTGAAGTTCCTCCTTTACTACAGTTAATATTTCAGTGAGGAGTAAAGAAAGAGGCTTGGTAGAACATCTACTGGATCCCGCTATGTATCTTTGTTTGTTAGGATTTTTATGGAGTTTCGGAATCAAATATAGATATGTATTATTAGACAAACATTGTAAATTAAGTGAAAGTTCCGAGATTTTTGATTATGGTAACAATGCAGTATGAACTTGTGTGACATCTGCTCTAGAAAATTATTAATGTCCGATTTTCAGGCATGTTTCATGGATTGATTTTTTTTCCTTGTCTATTTAAATTGAAATAAAATATATGTACATGTAGTTTTCTGATCAAGGTAAACAGAATGTTTCTAACTTCTAAAGTCTTTTTTAGTTTTCTTTTTTTTATATGAATTAAGGTTCTAGGGAAAAAAGTCATAAAATGATGTTGATACAACTAACCGGTTAATCGGTCGGAACGTGTTGCTGTTAATCGATTAGCAATTTTGTATTCGATTCCTACTTGTTACTGATCAATTGTATCTGTTGGAATTCGGTGAACACTAATTGTGCTCCATTATTAGCCGACCTGTTTATATAATCCTATGAAGCAGAATTTATCAAAAAACTTCTTCATGAGAAGAAGTAATCTCTTGTTGTGGCCTTCAACCCAACGGTTAGATATATGGACGACGTTTTATCAATCAACAATAGTTACTTTCATTCTTATGTGGACTCGATATATCCCAGAAATCTGGAAATCAAAGACACTACAGAGTCTGCCGCGTCGATTTCATAGTTGAATTTTTACTGACTGTAGACGAAACGTGCAATGGCCAGCTAATAACTAAACTGTATAACAAACGGGATGGCTTCAGTTTTTTCATTGTTAAATTCCTTTATCTGTTTATAAATATTTGAACATGTTGTTTATGTCTCCCAACTGATTCTATAAGCAAGAGCATTCTCTGAGTAATATTAATTTTTAAACCAAGGCAAGCTTCTGACAAAAAAAGCAGATTTTACAAGGACTTCGACAACCCCTTTAAAGTCAATTTTTCACAAATTCTATGGCCGTTTTAATGACATTGTTTGTAAATGTTTGTAAATACAACCTATCACTGGGTATTTTGTCTGACATATTTCACACCATTTGTTAGGTCATTGTTTTATTTTTACTAAATTTGCCTACAGAGTACTCTGTCTACCTGATCAATACATAGGGCTCACGGTGGGTGTGACCGGTCGACAAGGGATGGTTACCCCTCCAGGGTACCGGATCCCATCTCTGGTGTTTCAAGAGGTCCATGTTTTGCCCTGTTCATGATTCGTTTTATTTACTGGATTTATGAAATTGATCACTGTTCGTTATCTTTATCTTTTCCATTGTATAAATAAATAATCTTATTTTTATGGCTGTTGGGACGTTATTTCTATTATACTTTTTTTAAGATTAATTTTTAATTCTATGAACATCGTTTTGATGTGATATTTCGTAGCTATGCAATTTCAATGCTTAAAAATGTGATACCTTCTTGTAATGATATTTAACAATGTTCTAAAATAATTCAAAGCCATTTTTCTTTACTCTATAGATTTTTTTCCTTCAATGATTGATGTCGTTTTTCTATATATATGATCAGACTAAGTGTAAATGATTAGACTAATATTAGATTTAACCTTTCGTAGTGCATATTAATTCAAATTGGGATAAAGAATCCTTCGTTGCCAGTAAGGCTTTTACGTGATCCAAAACTTGCGTTAATGCTCAATATCAAAAGATTTATTGAGGAATAAAGCAAGAAAAACGACCACGTACTAATGTTTTATATACCTTTCAGGACTTCGAGAAGGTGCTGCGGACCTTGTGGAACAGTTCAGTGAGGGTAATAAGACTAGATCAGCTGGCAGTGGGTCAACGAGATCTACAGTTAATCAGTTATCCGTTCTATTGAGTCTGTTCGCAGTAGTTTTCTTTCTTTGAAGTTTAAATACGTAAAGTGCTACATTGTAAATATTTACTGAAGACGAAAGGGCAACAGAAATGTGCCATATTAAATATAACTTTGTGATAGTGAAAAAAAAAACGTGTTACTAGAACTAGACTTAGAGAGAATCATCAAGTAATTGATCCAAAATAAATACATGGTTTTAAAATATCAATGTGCCTTTTTAGGAATTGTTTGTGCCATATCTATTACGTTTTTGTTTGTTTATTTGTATGCTGTTTTTTGGTTGAATTAATTAATCAATCAATCAATCTTTAAAAAATGTTTACTGAATATTGTTTAATTTATTGCTACATGAACATAATATAATCATTTACTCATTAGTTGAATCTTTTATTATAACCCAGGAATATTGATTCAATACATCATCAATACCAAGGGCTCACGGCAGGTGTGACCGGTCGGCAGGGGATGCTTACCCCTCAGCAAATGATCCCACCTCTGAAATTTCCAGGGGTCTGTGTTTTATGCTCTTTGCACAGATGTGTATTGTTTGATTTTTTTTGTTTTAGATCGATATCACTGTTGTTATTTTCACCCTTTTCCTTGATCATTGTTCAACATTAAATACATCTTTCCCCTAATTTATTTTTCTTTATTTATTGATTTCATGTCCATTGTTTCTTTTCATTTAAAATAAAGTTTTTAAAATATACGTTTCTTGTTGTATATAAATTGTATATAAATTTTAAAATTTCATTAAATGGTTTATTTCAAATCTAATACTTAAGAGAGATATGAAGCATGTGTTTAAATTTAGATTAGTTATGGTTTTTATTTTTTTAAAATTAATTCTAAAATTTACATAGATATTTATTGTTCTGTGGACTTAACAAACATTGTTATATCCATATAAATATCTTTCTATATATTTATTACAAATAAAAAGTCCAACAAAGTAAATGTTTTTTTCATCGGTCTAACAATTTCATTGTTGACCGGTCTGTCAGTCCAACATAAGAATTGTTAGACCGTAACGTCATTGCTACGTCACAAGTAATCAGTCGTTCGTTCAATATCGGCGACACAGAAATAGCCGAAGTTTCAAGAGTTACCGCGTATGCTATTTGAAAGATGGCGTCACGGGAAAAATAATGTTTTGTGATAAATAATGTCTGTATTATAATAATTTAATGATTATTTTCTTCTTTTTTTCGTTATTGTCATTTTTATTTAAAAAGCCAAAATATTACTTATAAAGAAATAGTTTAATTATATGAGTAAATCTATTTAAAGGTTTTAATTTCAGTGTTCTTTCTTAAGTGAAGGGTATAACAAAACAGTTATAGACTGGGATTCGGACAACATCTGATTTGTTGGGCCTGAAGGTGAAAATGTTGCCCTTGGCCTGCAGCCTCGGGCAACATTTTCACTTTCAGGTCCAACAAATCAGATTGTGCCCTAATACCCAGTCAATAACTGTATAATATTTCTTTGCTGTGTGCCAATTTCATTTCATAAGAGATGAAAATTGTAAGAATTTTACGAACACTCTTAGTGAAATATGAATAAATTTTGATGCATTTTAAAGCAAATAATTGAAATAGAAATTGTAAGAAGCTAATTTCAGTGCACTTGATATAGTTTTTTTAGTATTACAAAATGGTGCAAAATATCGTTTTCTTTTTTGTATAAAAAAATGAAGTCAAAATATAAACATTTGAGAGACGACAGACGAATAGATAGACAAAAGGGAAATCAAAGTGATCAGAAAAGTTCAGTTGAGTCTTTGACTCAATTGAGCTAAAACAGTATTCATAAACATGTCCAAGAAACTTTAATTTATCAGTGAGTCACGACGAAGACTTTTGCTCATGAACCATTTCAGATAAACTTTGAACAAGGCTAACTGGTTAAGGGGGGTCACAGTTTGTAAAATCACTATATTGCAAACATCCCTAAGTAGTTTTTTTTCAAGTCTGTCCAAACTTTTTGCAATGGATCTACGTTTGGGTCCCATAAGAAGGGTCAAATTTGGCATAAAAATATATAGAAAGCATCTTTACGAACCTATATCTCCGACAAAACAAAATGCCACATTTATCTTCATGTTGCATAGATAGAAAGGAAAAAATCAATACAGCTTTTTACCACTATATGCGTTTGGTCAAAACTAAATTTTCTTCAAAACCTAAATATAATTTTACAAATGAAATGAAATTATTGCTTTCTATTTTAATAATTATTTAAACAAATTTTTGAGAAACTGGTAAAGGAGTTAAATTGCTATGACCTCGTAAAACATGTATTAAGTGTTGTAAAGCACCAATTATTTGCTTATATACGTACAAGGAAAATTCCATGTGTGTTTTTGAACTCCGTTGCAACGTGCACAAATATTTTTTTTATGTTTGATTTCATGGATATATTGGCATTCTTTATTGTCATCTGTGAAAACAATATATTTGATACATGTTTATTTGAGATATCATAAAAAGCATGAAAAACATAGAAAAAAACCTCGCATGCGCTTTATTTCTGTAAGAAATTATTCTGAAGGTCTAATTAAGGATTTCAATTTTTATGTGCACATGCAAGTCTTGGTCCTTCATGTCAAAGTAGTGGTCATTCTTTTGAATGAAAAAGGTGAAGATAACGAACAGTGATAAAAATAATACACTACTGCATGTAGACTCATTTATAAAATCAGATATAGATTTCTTTCTGATTTGGATAAACTGTGTTGTTGCAATTAAATAAAGTAGAATATGATCCAGTGCTTTTGAATTCACATTATTTTCTTTCGCCAGCTGATTGTTGTGATATCATAAGCGATTTCCTGGACGCATGGAATATGGAGATAACGAACAGTATTCTAGATCAAAGTCCATTTAGAGATTACACAAATCGGGGGCAGAGCAAACACGGACCTCCAACAACATCAGAGGTGGGATCAGGTGGCAATCCCCGCTCCTTGTGCTCCTTGTCATGATAGCGAAAACGGACAAATCCGTAAACAATTCAGTATGTAAATAATGGCCTTACCACTAGTATGAAAATCATCAGTCAGTATTTGACTTTATGGCAGGTTGTATTTGCTTTGCTGACAAGGTCACTGTATCGACCATATAACTTGCGAAATTATGACTTCAAAAGAGACTGTTGATATCCTTGTTTTATCATCCTGTTTGTCAATAGCTTGCCTCGTTTTAAATATTGTTTATACGTAGAGCATGATATTGCGTATCGAATCAACTGGAGATGAAAACCACATATGTAGATGATAAGGGTGTATTGCTATATGAATATTAAGTAAATTGACGATTGAAAAATTGAAGTCATCACGTTTATCATAAAGCTTTGTTGTTAGGTTAACATTAAAGTCCTTTTCTAGTAAAATATCAAAATATGAAACAGATGTGTCAAACTCTATGGTATCTTTTATTTCAAGCTCACTGGGATATATCGAGTCGACATGTGAATGGAATTAACTATTGTTAATTGATAATACGTCGTCGATATATCTACATGTCGAGTTGAAGGCCACAGCAAGTGTTTTCTTATTCTCTGAATACAAAAATAGGTCTGCTAACAAGGGGGTGCAATAGGTACCCATGGAAATTCCAACAGATTGTTGAAAGACCTGATCTCCAAAACCCACATAGATATTGTCAATCAGAAACTCAAGAATCTTCTTGATATCAACTTCAGAGTACTAGTGTGTACAATCAGAATGTTTTTTATCAAAATAATTTTGCAAATGACCAATGGCAAGGTACGTATATTACGAGTTCCATTTTTATTGAAAAAGCAGCTGTCTATGATGTCAAAAGCCTGGACTTTAATTTATCGTGGGGAATGGTTGTATAAAGTGTTGAAAAGTCGTGAGTGTTAATGTTATTGATTTTGTTGAAATTTTGTGATTTCAATTTTTCTAAAAGTTGGAGTTTTTAAGTATCCATATCTGATTGACTCCACTTCTCGAATATACTATTGTACAGTACTTCTGAAGTTTCTTCTGCACTGCTTTAAATATTTTATTGAGGAGTAAAGAAAGAGGCTTGGTAGAACATTTACTAGACCCCGCTATGTATCTTTGTTTGTAAGTATTTTCATGGAGTTTTGGAATCCAGTATAGGTAGGGAAACTCAAATTCATTTTCATTGTTGGGAATACTAGAAATATTTAAACCTGACATATGGTTTTGAAGATTTTCCTCCTTAGAAAGGGGGCTATGGGTATAAGCTGGATAACCACTTGCAGAATCAAATCCTAGTTCCTCTAAATTACAATTCAAATATTGAGCCTCATAAACAAAGACAATATTTTTACTTTTACTATTTTGATTTGTCAGTGGGGACTAGTACATACTGATCATGTAATCTATCTAATTCTTGTTTCATTTCTGCATTGTCGAAGACATATGCGATGATTCGAATGATGAGTTATAGAGAAATTATATCTAATCATAATGAAGCGAAGCGTTTTAATATAGATTTGTTTACGATTTATAAATTTCCATCAATTTGTCTTAGAGATCTAACCAAAATAAGCTAGCATAATAATTTTACATATACAGTTTTAAAAACTTTTTGACGTGACATGCCCCTGTAAACAATTGGAATGTACATTTTGGTAAAAGTTTCTTAACAAGGAGATATAATGAATATATTTATTTTATTTGGTGTTGCGCAGTGTTTTGAGCGTTTGCTCTAGAGTCGCGGTGTAAGGAGTTGATCCTTACGTCGCAGGCTCGAATCCACTTTGCGACGTGGAGACCGTGGTCTGATTAAACCGAGGTTCCGTATAGCAATATGGAGATCTCTCGCTGCTCAAAGGCCGAGTACAGGTCTAAATTTGAAATCTTCCAAGGGACGTAAAACAACCAAACAAAGAAACAACTTCAATATAGTTTTACACTTCCATGGCTGGAGAAACACTTCTGATTGAAACCCAAAGAAAATATTCTGGGTTAAATAAATAGGATCACCCATTCTCAAAACTTGCCAATGACTTAGATATGAGGATGTTAATCCAGTGGTCAGTATGCTTGATTTCAAAATTAATACTTTCTATGAAAATGTATCATACATAAAAAGTTATCATACATGAGGTTCGAACTTTTAATCTGAAAATGATATACATCCTTCGTTTCTTTGCACACATATAAATTTGTTCGCTTCTTTACATGGTTCAAGGTTACAAATGCATGTAAATATATATATATATATATATATATATAT